CAGCGCCCAATGTCTGTTCTCGCAGTTCGCAAAGCCCAACCATGTCACAACAGAAGCCGGCAGCGGTCACCGTTTTCTTGCCTTCTAGCCTTTCTACGAGAGACTTTCAGACCGGAGGCGATCCGCGGACGGACGGCGTCAGCAAGCGTCTTTTCCCCTCCCTCCTCCGTCATTGTCCGCCGAACCGTCTGTCTACAACAGTAGGTTCTCGAGCACTTTTTTGCTCGTCATGCGCAAACTGAGGGGAGTGGGACCGACGCCTGTGGCCGATGTCAATCGGGGTTTCCTTCTTCTTCTTTTTTTTTTTTCTTCCACCTCTCTCGCCGAGACCACAACGCCCTCCTGGCAGTGTGCTTTCCACATAATTACCAAACTGACTCGATCGATCAAGCCGGCGCTGAATAGACGGACCAGGCCAGCTCGCTTTCCTCTTCGGCTTCACACCTTGGTCGCTCGACCCCCTTTGGCCTTTGAGCCCGTCCCTGAAGCGTGCCATCAGCGCTCCCCACCCGCAGCACAGGGCGTGGCGATAGTAGATTTACCTTGCAGATGCCACGAGGTGTGCACTTATGACCAGGGGTCCAGATACCTCCCTCCCATGTATCCCTTTTCGTCCCCATGCCCCCGTCCACTGTCAAAGCCCTCCATCGCCTGATGGGGGAATTTCCCACTTGTACCCACTGTCACAGACCTGGACCTTGCGAGGCGGAGAGCAGCTCAACCCTGGACCTCGTCGTCCGTCCGTCCTAACGACCGTTTTTTTGTTTTTTTCTTCGATGCAAGCGCTTCCGTCATGGCTCAGACATGGACAGGGTAGCTCAAATCCGTTCACAGTTTGCTCAAAACCAATGCTTTGCGCCTTGCTTCTCCTTTCCCCCAAGGTACATACCCTACCGTACGCCCTGGCCCTGCTTCTCGTCTCACTCATATATATCCCGTCCGGCCTCGACCGACAATGCGCATGCTTTTTTTTGCAACAGCAGTATCTAGTGCCTATATACAAAGAGCCGTCCTGTCCTCTGACCTCAGATACTTCCTCAACTTCGCTATACACTCTCCGCAGCTTGCCACGCCTGTCATCTCTTCTCCCTTCCTCCGTCTGTACAACTTCGGACCTTTGAGACTGAGTTTCTGCAAGCCTAGCCCAGCTCTCACCACCATCGACACGATCAGTACCAAAGGCATATACTCTCACCTCCCAGAGCAAGTCAGACTCAAACAACATCACACAATTTAACACCTTTATCTTATCCACCTACTTCACTCACATCTTTTCCCGCCTATACATCTATCGGCACCTCCTCTGCCTCTGGACACGTACGGCGTTACCTCAACCACTCTTGTCAGGCCTTTCCTTCTCACATTCAGGCCGAGACATCGACGTATTAGTAGCGCAAACGCTTTTCACACCTTGTTGTCCAAGATGTGTGAATACACCAAGAACTACTACATCTACACGTCATGTATCGACCCCGGTGCTCACTTCTTCCGGACGTCAATGGACGGCAACCGGAGCCGGGCGTGCTGCAACGGACCCCATGAGCGATATATCGTTGTTCCTGGCCACTGCCCCCTTTGCAGCGGTTAACCCGACCCCTGACTCGACGGGATAGCATCAACGGGTTCTCACGCTTTGTGTCTTTTGAGATCTCGGGCAAGACGACCGGGTGTTTACAAGATCCGATGCAGCTGTCAACCCCACTTTGCCAAAATAGGGCAATACCTCGGGAGGGATGGTCAGCAATCTCAAGCATCCAACCAGACTCCCAACGAGGTTTCGGGCTTTTACACGACAACGGGGCAAATGTGTCAAGTTCGGAGGGTGAGGCTGTCTACTCGATGGACTATGGTTGTATTCGAGAGGGGTTTTTGAGAAACGAGGAGACGGATGCGACTGGACGGCCAGTTGGAAACCATGGATCTCGGACGGGGATGCAACGATGACAGCCTTCACGAACCGGGATCCCGTCACTGGAGCACCGCATCTCACAGCAGCCGGGTTTCGTTCGGGAACGCGTCAGGGTGATGAATCAAAGAAGGGAAGGGGGGTAGCATCGTCACTTTCTGCCGTCTGCGGCTGATCGGGGGGACGGTTTCTCCCCTCCCCCGCTCAAAGAAAAAAAACGACTGCATCTGGATCTCGACACTGGAAGAGAATGAATCGGAGAGGAAGGGCGAGAGAGAGAAAAAAAAGCAAAAAAGCACAGCAAGCGAGCACAGCGTTGTTGCATCTTTTCCTTTTTTCCTTTTCTGTCTCTTGGTCAACTGGTCATTTCTATTTTTTTATTTTTTTTCCCCTCTTTTTCTCTCGTTTTCACATGTTCCCCATCTCGTCATTTCATTGGGAGGGAAATTTTCACGCCGGCATAGCAAAGCAGGTTGCGTGTGTCTGTGGTTAGCCTATCGAATCGGGGGCCGGTACAGTTTTTGTCCATGGCGTTTACAAGAGGCATTGGGAACGGCGCAAAAACAAAAAGGGGAAGGGATCCATCGAGGAAAACAAAGTTGACCGCGGGCGGCCGCTGCTGCCACCGCGCTGTTGATTTGCCCTCTTATCATTATCTTTCATCGAGCAATCAAGAACGAGAGGTTCGCCGCACATGAGGCGGCAGCCGTCTATTGTATTGAAGACCTTGGCCCTGCAGGCGAACGAATCCTCGCAAGTGTGCAATGTTTCCTCGCGTAACCCCCTCCTCGTTCAATTTGACGGTTCTCCAGCGGGAGAGCCAAGATGAAATCTTCACCGCGTCTTTGCCTTGTTCTTTTTTCTTTCTCCTCTTTCCCTAGAATGGGAGAGCCAGCTGAGGCGTGTTGGACCTCTGCAGGGTTTGTATGTATGTGTGTGTGTGTGACAGTCGACCAAGCCAACGGCCGCAGGCGCATAACACCTTTTTCCTTTTGCCTGTATGGAACAGTTGGCCCCCTATTACATCCCGCCCCGGCTTATAACTGGGGCGGCAACCAACAAACCAACCGTCCTGGCTCGGGTGACGCCAAATCTAGAGACCTCCCGTTAGAGGGGCTTCCTCCGGCCGCCCTGCGCGAAGAAAAAAAACGAAGAAAAAAAAAAGCCGACTTGGGTTGCGCGCTCGGCTAGTCCGCAACGACCACGGGCGGCTGAAGGATCAGAGACGTCACGTCACGCCACGCTTGGTTGGGGGGGGGGGGCTTTGGGAAAGGGTCGGTGTTGATATCGCGAAGGGGAAGGGCCACGGCAATATTCGGATCTGCCCAAACAGGCCGGCGCGGAACGGGTGCGGTGGGCACCAAGCGCGCAACAGAGTGGACGATCGCCCCTTCGCACCCGCCCACCGCCGAAGAAGAGGGGGGGTGATGGTGGTGATGGTGGTGGTATAGCGGAGCCGCCATATACCCTCCTCCAACTTTTTTTTTTATCTCTCTCTCTCTCCCCTCGAGACTTTGTTTGCCTGGCCTGGCTAGACGTTGTTGCTTGCCCGCTTCCCCCAGTTTTCGAGCTGTTTCAAGTCCTCCCTCCCTCCTCTCGCTTCCAGCTATAGGCCAAGAATACCCTCCACCTCCCTTTCCTGTCCATCATCCGGATATGCCAGGCGGGCAGGGGAACGGTTGTTCTTGCTGGTGGCGGGGTTCGCGAAGCCACGAACCATTGCTGACCCCGGCTTGATTTTTCGACGAGGCGGCGGATCTGATTTGAGGAGCCATCGCATTCGAGCGGGCACACATGCATATATATCTCGTTTTGTCGTGCTTATAGCTCATGTGAGATGACGAGCACGTCGTTAAAGGGTAAACGACTTGTAGTCGCCAGCCGGTTAAGGAACAACCCCAGGCGACCCCCACAGGCTGCTGGCATTCGTGTGTGTCCACCCCGGACATGCAGCCGGATTCTCCAACAAGGGGGGGAAAAACGGGGGACTTTATCAGGCGGTAAGCTTCGTGCTGCCACTAGGTGTGCCGTCACATGTATCTTCTGTCAACCAAAAAAAACATCCGCGAGTTATTTCCGCCTTGCGTCTAGGAACGCCATGTAATGTGGCTAAGCCTTGCAGGTCATGCACGGCATGCCATAGCTGCAAACCCCCCCCCAAATGGCCTGCGTCGTGCCTCAAAGGGCACGCCATGACCTGCATGCATGCGGCGCAACGCATGCCCAATCTGGCGATGCTGACGCTCGTGGTCTACTGTACACGTTCGGGGTTGGGAGAGGGCGGTTTGGAGCGGCCCACGCGTTCTTGATGTTGGACGTGATGTGCGCCCATGATCGCCGCTTGTCCACTGATGTGTTGATGTGTCGAATCGTTCCGAGCCCCAACAGCCAACGGGAGGCGGTCGTGGCGGATCCACCAGCCAGCCTCGCGAGCGCACGGATGGCTCTAGGTGTGTTCTGTGCTGCAACGGGCGCTGGCCTTGAGGCTGTCGTGGCCGTATATGGCAAAGAAAGGCTTTGCGACAGGAACCATGGTTGGAGGCCCTGGCTCGCAGCCTTTGGACGTGCTGGCGGGTGCCGAGACGTCTCGCGCACGCAAAATCTCTGGCCTCTCCTCGTTTCCGAGTCTCGAAGCTTTCGCGTGGTAGCTCGCACAAAAAAAAAAGGGCCCAAAAACAGAGAGGAAACCGACTGGTCCCACATGAAGATACTGACGATCCGGTCACACTGAGTCGTGCAGGGTGCCCCCTCTCACACTCTCTCAGCGTCTACGATTCGGTAATCCGACCTGGCAAGTGGACATTGTGAAATGAAACTTCTGGTGAAGGCGTGCAGTCGATGCTCAGCAGCAGCGGGTCGGTTTGGCGTTGATAGACAAGGCGTGGGGGGCGCCATGTCTTGAGAACAGCATCTAGCCAACAACGGTGACCGAGAGCTTGACTGACTGCCCCATGCCCAATCAACGATCAGAGTTTCGCTCCCTCCTCTCATTTCATTTCCCTCGGACTTTGCTCCGTTCAGAAACACGTATGCGCCTTCCTTGGCCGATGTCGCGTCCAGTTCAGGAAGCAGCTTGACCGGGGTTGGGCCATTCTCACTCGGGTCCCGACCGATCCGTGTCGTCGGGGCCGAACGGGCGGCCGCCACTAACGAGCGATGTCCCAAAGAAGAGCGCCGTATCCGGCTCCGCACGCAAGGTTGCATTGCCGATACGGTATGGTGATATACGTTGCCCAACGCGGCCGCCCTGCACAACTAGTTGCCCATGGGCTTCCCTAGACATTCTGGCGATCGTCCCAGCCCCCCGGGCCCATCATGGACCACCACACCCCCCCCGACGACGATTTGTTAAGGTTTCCGTCCGCCCCGAACAGAGCAACTGAGGTCCAAGTGCCGACAGTAAGTTGGCTTTGCAGCCTCCAACCCCGGAAATATTTTGTCTCGTATGTTGCTGCCGCGTCGACCGAGTCAAGCGGGCCAGGAGTCCAGTAGGTTTGCACCTCGTCCTTGCTGCCGAAGCCGTGTTTGCTTGCAACTTTACCGCTTTGCCTTTGGTAGAGACCCTTGTCGTTCGCTTTGGCCTTTTTCGGCGGGGAAGAGTGACCTGACAATGACAGCCTCCCCCTCCTACCGTATCTGGTACATGTCGATTGGCCCCCGAGGTTGGAGCTGGCCGGGGTGGGCTGTTGGCCTGGTCCTGGGTGGTCTCCGCCCCGTCATCCCCTCTTCCTGGCACAATCGGTACACGCACCACGGCAGGTCCTCTACACTACACAGGGCAGCTGGTCGTACGAGGCCGACGAGTCAGTCAGGTGATGTCAGATTGGTGCGGTTTGTGCCTCCTTGTTCCAGATAATACGCTGGATCTTGGTGACGGCCGGCCGATGGGACTGCGCCGACGCGCTCCCCACGTGTTCTCGGCGGCGCGGGCCTGCGGACCCGAGAAGCCGACCTCGTCGTGTTCGCGGAGCACGGAGCGGGTCCATACACTGCAACATACCTAGACCCCAAGCAGCGGCCGCTGGCAGCTGTCAAGGACATGCCAGGCAACCAACGCCCCGGCTTGACGACAAACCCTCGGCTGGACGCCGGACTCCACCGAGCACCTAAATCAGACAAGAAGCGACTACTACATCGAGAGAAACGGTGGCATGTTCCACGGGCTCGACTTTCTTCTTTGCCAGCGAATCCCTACCGAAACCCAGGGACGTGGGTGCCACTTACATGACCCAGTATACATAGTGCATGTCAAAAGTCCGGTCCGAAAGCATCCGCTTCGTCATATTGTCATCCGAAACATGACAGGTCTCTTTTCATTCTCGACAGCCGATCGATTGGAGCGGAGTGTCACTAGTGGATGTCAGAAATTACTACCGGTACATCGGTTCGACGCAACTACCGGTGCCACTAGACCCCAGAGAACCGATGGACTGTTCCTGGCCTCAATGTCGAAGGGCCTGGCCGGACACGTCCTCGCCGTACGGGGTTGGAACCGGAAGAATCGACTTTGGCCCCAAACATGCGAGACACGACATTCAGGAGAGATGGGGGACCGGGACGAGGCTCCACGTCGCTTAAACTTGATCCACGCCGCAGTGAGAAAATTGGCCCACGAGGTCAACGGATGTTTCAGCTCGACCACCAGTTCCCTGGATCTCGAATGCCTGTTCGTGGGGTCCGTCATGTCAAGGCGATGTCTTGCTGGCGTTGTGTTTCTTCAAAGTGCGAGGCCGCTCCCATTGGCCCTGGCAAACGAACTTCCACTTCTGGCAAGGTCACCACCGGTGGGCCCAAAAGCTTCTGCTTCACACCCATTCCAGCCACCCCGGTGGCAGGTCTGGGAGGTCCGCAAGATGAGCTCTTATCGTAGCCTCATGCCTTAGAAACTCAGTCTGGCTGAAACCTGCCTGTCTTAGTCTGCTTTTGCCCGGGAGAGGTAAGCCCGGCAGACCTCGCAGGTCAATCCGGCTGCGTAGCCAAGTGCTCTTCAACGATAAAAGGCCGGAGGCTCAGATGTAGGCTCGTTGCTACCTGGCGTAGTTGAGCAACTTGAAGCCGGCCCTGGTCTTTTCCGAGATGGCCGACGATCGTGGCTCCCTTTGACACAGGAACCTGTTTCGTTGCGAGGCAGTAGCACAACGTCAAAGACCGATCAAAGCAGGTCTACAAGCGATTGTGAGCGCAACCAGCGGTTCGGTGGTACCAAAGGATGGAAGTGAGGCCATTCCCACTTTGGTAAAGTCATGCTCCTCCATCCGTCAATCCGTCTATCCATCCCGCCTGCCCTCTTTGCTCCCTTGCTCACACCTGCTGTTTCGTCCAGTATCTCTATCCCGTGACATCGCGGCGGGGTAAATAAAGAAGAAGGAAGCAGAGACTCCTAACGCCAACGCCAGAGGCAGCAGTAACGGTAGCGGCAACAATAGAGGTACACTTGGAAACAGCTTCCACACATTTCGGAAGATAAATTGGGTTCTCACACCCCCTGCAATCAACAGTACTCGGGTCTCTCCGTTTTCCACCCCACCTTCCCGCTGCTTCCTCTCGAACGCACAGAGCTTTTGACAAACGGTCCTTGTTGCCGTCCCAACTCTCATCCGTTAGAGTAAATGACAAGAAGGCGCAGCCATCCCGGCCTCCATCGCGTGCCAACGTCACTTCTTGCAAAGGACATTCACAACAAGGCATCTTTACCCCAAGTAAGCTTCTGCCTTCCGTCCCGCGTTACGTGATGCAATGGCTTTGGTCTCCTTTTCCCTTCTGATAACATGTCCATCTTCTGTCTCTGCAATCTCCCATGCTATCGACCCATGGCATACCCTGTTTTTTTTCCGGCTCGGCCTCTCCGATTGTAACAACCATCCGTTTTCAAGACGCCATTGTAACGACATTTCCATGGTAGCTTCCTCGATGAACCCATACTCGCCTTCGAATACAACCAGCTTGTGAATCCGCCAACAGTGTCCCTAACAGGGCGCTTAACCAGTCCCTAGCGTACTCGTCATGTTACCCTCGATCCTCGTCTGTTCATCTTTTGTTTCTCACCATGTATCGCCCAAACGAACAAGATGAGGTGCTCGCGGCGCCTGCCATTCCGTCCGAAGTCCGCTTACAAAGCATCATCGCCCTCGTAGTAGCGACCATGTCCCTGGTTGGTGCAGGATGGATCATGGCCAGTTACGTGGTAAGCCTTGCGGCTGCTTCCCATACTGATCCATATTGACGATCCCTCAGATATTCCCCGACCTGCGCTCATTCCGCCACCGTCTGATCACCGGGCTTGCCATCAGTGATGCACTCATGGCGCTAAACTTCCTGTGCTCAACGGCAATGAACGTGGGCGGCAACCTCATAGGCACGCCGGGAAACGTCGGCTTCTGCAGCTTCAACGGTTTCGTGACGCAGGTCTTTGTTATCCAGACGGACTACTGGGTTCTGACCATCGCCGTCTGCACGTACTTCATCTTGGCTGGTCACAAAGTCCAGTCCACCTGGGTGCAGAGCCACGAACTCGTCGTCTTGGCACTGCCCTGGTTTTTCTCTGTCCTCTGGGCCGTTGTTGGTCTCGGTGTTGTCGGTTACGGGGACATAGGTGCTTGTGAGCGATTTTTGATGACATCCAGCCCCGCCCCTGTTTGAGTCCTGACGGGCTTGATAGGGTGTTGGTTCACCTCGGATACGGTTCGTCTGCTTGTGAACTTCATTCCTCGATGTAAGCACACCTCTTAGAGGGCTTTTACTCCGACGAAAAGCTGACTTTCGTCTTAGGGGTCATCATAGCCACTATGTTTGCACTGTATGCGTACCTGTCATACGTTCTTTACAAAGCACATACACGACTGAGCTCGGTTCAGGACGCTTCTCCTCGCTACACTGAGTCCGGACATACGACTCGGGAGGGAAGCCGGATGACCAGCATCCACGAAGGAACTGAAGGCCGCTCAGAAGTTTCCATCCGAAGGCTCAAGAGGGTCAACCTCACATAATGGTGCTACCGATGAGACTAAACTGACATTTCCATAGGTTGCACGGCTCATGCTTCTGTACCCTCTCGCCTATGCAATCATCTGGTCTCTGCCAACCGCAATACGAATATACCAAGCGACACAGGACAAGCCGGCAGCCTTTGTACTACAGACTATCGACAAGGTAAGTATCGTCATCCAGGGTTTCATGGACGCTATAATCTACGGCGTGAATGAAACGACCCTCGCAAACTGGCGCGCGCGTTTGTCCCGTCAGGGGTACCCGGTCGTTCAGGGGATGAACTCCCGCGGCGGGGAAGACTTGGCAGTGGACGTGAACAGAGAGCGGTCTCAACCACCCAACAGAAGAGGGTCCGCAACGACGCGCTCAAGGTCGACAGTACCAGCCGAGCTGGGAATGGATGACGCTTCAAGTTCCACCGAGTTGAGAGACTTGAGGGCGTAGGCTGCCCCGATGGGAGGGGCAGGTACTTTGTCGAGGACTTTGGAACTTCATGTACGGGCAGGGAGTTAAACACGGCTATTCAAAGTTTACCAGGCGACTCATGGTGAGGTGGCGCGAGAAGTTATGGAACAGCATAAACGTGGCCAAGATCAGAAATAACACAGTGCTTACTATTCGGTATGCGCTTGGCTTGATACATACAAAAGTTCACACGCAACAGAATTTCTTCTTAATTATTTTGTTTTGTTTCTCTTGTTAAGTCAAGCAACTATCTTCTATAACAAGGCAAGATTCACAATCATGAGGCGTTGAGGGTCAAGCAGGTACAGGTGACATCAACGTCTCATTACTAGCTCGTGCCTGTAAGCGTTGCCATACCACGCGTTTCCTCATTACTCATTATCACTAGTCTTACTCCCTTTCTGTCAACACAAGACCCTAGGGTCGTTCTCGAAGACAGTATCGTCTACTGCTTGCGACCGGCAACCTCCTCGACAGCAGAAGCGGCGGGAATATCCTTGGCGACCTTGGACTTCTTGACCATGCGCAGGCCGCCGACAAGCATGACAAGGGCCTGGATGCCCAGGATGACGACCAGCGTCACGAGCGCGCCAATGACACCGGCCACGGGCGTCGAGATGCCGCTGCCGGAGCCAGAGCCGGAGCCGGACCCGTTCGAGTCGGCGGAGCCGTCCAGACCCAGTGCGGTGGCGCAGGTGCCGGTGGAGTTTCCGCAGGCCGTGCACCACGACTTGGTGTCCTCGATGGCGAACTGGCGCATCTCGTCGACGAAGGTAGCCCAGGGCAGAACGGTCTCGGCGCGGCCGAAGAGCGGGTAGGCCGTCAGCTGGCTGGCGCCGGCGGAGCCGTTGGCGAAGCGGAAGCGCACCGAGACGTCGTCGGCGGCGGGGCTGGCGGACGTGGCGTTGGTGACGAGCTCAAAGACCATGGACGAGGCGTAGTCGACGACGGTCGTGAAGTCCTCCGACACCTTTTGCAGCTGCGCGAGGCCGAAGAAGGAGGAGAAGGCGGCGTAGGCGCCGAACTGGATGTTGGCCTTGACGGAGCTTGACTTGGCGGCGGTGTTGAGCGTCGTGTTGAGGCCCTGCAGGATCTGGCCGGCGAGGACCATGCCGGAGATGGCGCGGATGGTGTCGGACTCGTTGTAGGCGAGGTTCCACTCGTGGATGTTGGCGTAGTCGGTCAGCGTGCGGATCGTGGCGTTGGTGAGCAGGTCCGCCGAGGGAATGCTCTCGTTGTGGATGGTGGCGACGTTGATCAGGTCAAAGATGGTGTAGGCGTTCTCGAACGACGCGGCCTTGTCGCTGAAGGTGCCGTTGATGACGGGCAGCAGGCCCTGGTAGAAGTCGCGGGACTCGGCGTCGAGAGCGGCGTACTCGGGCGTGGAGAAGTAGTTGTTGGAGCTAACGACGGCCTTGCCGCACCCGCTGCTGCCCTGCAGCCACCCGCTGCTCTCGGCGTCGGTGCTGGTGGCCGCCGTGGCCAGGGCGTTGACGGGGACGTACTGGTAGCCGCCCAGGGGCGCCTCGACGCTGGACCCGTTGGCGAGGGCGTCGGCGGTGCCGACGGGCGGGTAGAAGCCCTGGAGGAAGGCATAGGCCGAGGACTGCAGGACGACGTCGCTGGGGGAGGTGACGGCGAGCTGCTCGGGGCGGACGTCGTCGGCGCTGATGGAGCGGATCTGGGCCGTGGCGTTGTCGCGGACGTAGCGCTCGCCGTAGTGCAGGCCCGAGGTGTAGACCTCGTAGGCGCCGAGGTCGGTGAAGCGGACGGGCGGGGTCTTCTTGGCGGTGCGGTCGCCGTGGCGGTGGAAGACGTAGATGCCGAGGACGGTCTCGGCGGCCGCCGGCATGATGGGCAGGCCGAGGGCCAAAAGAAGCTTCAGTTCCATCGTGGGGTGGTTAAACGTCCGGTGTTATGGACTGTCTTGACTTGTTAACACGGTGTGTTCCTTCCCTTTGCCCGTTGACTTGGATGAATGCCGCCTGGTAACTGAGTGTCCACCGCTTGATCGACTTTCTCAAAAGTCTTGGCCGTCTCGGGTAGAAGAAAGCGCAGCGGCCGGTTTATATGCGATGAAAAAAATGAAATAGCTCACTCGGTGTAACTGCCGTCCGAGTGGATATCGCACCGTCAACAGGTCGTCATAGACACGTTAAGTGTCTGGCGGATCGTGACAATGAGCTAGGGAGACCAAAGACCCCGGTCAGTTTCTTGATGTCGACTTGATGTTGATAGAAATCAAGAAACAGCGACTCGTCGAGAGTAGGATGCGCCCTCGTAGTTGGGATGTCTGCGAAGAAAATAACCAGCAGCCGCCTTCGGGCCCTCGAGAGCCCGGATACCAACTGCCTTTTATCCCATCGCCGCCATTCGGGGCTCTCCCAGCTCTCGACTGGGCCGGAGCCCGACAAATTCTCAGCCCACACTGCCCGGAGTCACATTTCCATCCCCCTCTCCGCAGACAGCTTGACCCGCTTCCAGCCTCCGGGACCAGTCGAAGGATCGCGATAAAGGAGGGGTAAGGAACAGCACTAACCACTGCAAGTAGTCATTGGATCGTGGCCGGCCATGTCCTATCAAGCTATCAGCGCTGTTACTCAGCGCAAAGGCCGCTGCCGCGGAGAATTGTTGCGGGCTTTGGCGGGGGGACGACCACAAGCAGGCATTCGTGCGGCCAATTAGTCAAGCTCTGCAAGCCGTCCCCACTTGAGCAGCAAGCTATCATCTGCAGGCCGAAGGGTGCGGGTGCCGGCTTGGCCAGAAAAGCTTGAGTGCGCCGCACGCGGGCTGGGGGTTTCGACGACGCTAATTCGTTGACAAGGTGATGGCTGAGGGTGAGGTTGAGAGAACAAGGTCCCGATGTGCAACATCTCCGCTCCCATCCGCGGCAGTGGCTCCGGCGCCGGCTATCGGCGGCGGCTGTACAAAGTCTTTGTTACAGTGACTGTTTCGCGAGATCCACAGCACCCAATCATACCTGATGACGGAACGTTGACAGTCTCCAGCACTTTGTTAGCAGTGTCCGAAAATACGTGGGGTGGACAACCGACCAACTGCGTAAATTCCTATAGGATATGGAGACATCGCATATGCACACCCTCCCGGAGCAGCCACCTGTTTTAGATTTCGCGCCTACCAGATGGCAGCTCTTTCTGTATCTGCCACAAGGGCACAGGATCAATCACGCCTCGGTGCAGGTCCAGCAACTCGATGGCGTGGGCGTGGGAATCGACGTGAGCCGAGATGCGTGGCTCTAGCTCGACTTGAAGAGCAAAAGGGGTACACCCGAACGCCACCTTTTCCCAATCCTCAACTATACCCCGTCTAGCTTGGCGTCCCATGTGCCACGCGAGGCGATGGAGGTGCAGTGACGGTCTGCACGATACGCAAACCGGCAAGCCTCTCCCCGGCGCCCATTCCACAACACGAGTGTCTGCAGGCTCGGCATACAGAGCGCCGCAGCCGCAGCATGGCGCAAGGGCTTTGAGACCTCTGGGGGCTGGGTTGTGTGGGTAAGCGCCCTTGAAGTGAGAACGAGCGATTGCATGTGCTCCCAGGTCCACGACGGTTAGCGGGCCATCCCAAACGAAGAAGACACGCCGGCGCTGCCGTCAGTCGTTGTTGTCTTATCTGGGTCATATACGATTTCTTGTACGAATTTTCCCCGTCGCTGCCACGGCTCATAGACCAGTGATTCCAGCCGAGGAAGCCGGTCGAAGAGATATGCTAATGATCTGGGTCCCAACTGACTGAGAATGGAGAACAGCTTCCAGATAGCTCTTCTGAAGTTGATATTGTTGCTGCACATCCAGGAGTAGCCTCCATTGCAGTGACAACACTGGCATGTGTACGGCCGTAGCTCCATGTTCAGCCAAATGTGCCTGACTGGCCCTCTCCTCCGAGGGCTGATCATACTTTCAACCTCGCTTAGACACGATGTCCGTAGATGCAATCGGCGAAAGTTCCTCTTCTCCAAGACGGCCTGCCACTCCTGGCAGACTGAGGCGTAGGCGCTCCAGCCACGTTCTGTGCAAGCCAGGCACGCCAAGATCATGAGACGGATCTCCGCCGGAAGAGACTCCCAGAGTGGCATGTTCTTCTCGCTGCTTCCCTTTGGTATTGGGTTAGCGGGTGTCAGCCAATCTGGCGGTCATGGTGAAATGGCTCGAGATCAAGGGCTGCAGTAGCTGAGATGACCCGGAAGGATATCGTTACTGATGACCTGGAGCACCTGGAAAGGGCTTTAGAGGGGAGCGAGAATACTCAAGTCACGTATTCGAGGCATTCTTGTTCAATGGAACAAGGCAATGGGCTTTGTTTGCACCATGGCTTAAATATAAAAAAATAGCCATCCATGTGGGGATGCGTCATGTGGCCGCAACCTTTGTAGTCATTGAGCACTAGCAGATGTTGGCCTGCGTTGAAAGATATTCGTACGGGTCTGGTCAGAGCAACCAGAGCCGTCTTGTTCTAATGAATGGCCCGCACCCAGCGCTCGCCGTCTACATACAACACGCATGGATTAGAACAAGAGGTGCTGTAGGTCTTATCGAAAAAGAACTTCGGCAGATGTCAAGAGAGGTGGGCGGAAACAGTGGCTGGTATGCTCAAAATGGACTGACATTCTCCGCACTCTGAGTATCTAACAAGCAGGGCAGGTCAGCAATCACCGCCCGTGCGATTTCAACTTACAATCTTCAAGCCCTGTTCGTTATTCTATACCCACGGACCTGTGGGACGTGTTTCTCTCGGAACCACCGCGGCAGGTTCCCTAGCCTAAAGCTTGGCATCCTTCTTGCGTCCACTCTTGACGTGCTTCGAGAACTCTCCCTTCAGGAGAAAATCCGGATATTTCATGTTCTCGTCGGTTCCCACTGCCAGCGCACCTCCCCGTCTCCAGGAACCACCGTCAACAGGGATCGCCTGACCGTTGACAAAGTTGCCGGCGTCGCTGAACAGATAGACAGTGGAGTCGGCAATGTCTCGAACAATGCCCCACCGACCCTGCGGTACCTGGGCGTCGGCCTTGGACTGGTCCTGCTGGCTGCTGGCCAACCGCTGCATGCCCTCCGTGTCCTTGATCGGACCCGGGGCAATGACATTGCTCGTGACCCCAAAGGGGCCGTACTCCAACGTCACCGAGGCCATGAGGGCGTCGACAGCGGCCTTGGCGGCCGACACATGGGCCTGCAGCGGCATACCCGTCCAGTGGAAAGTCGCCGAGACGAAAATGATGCGACCGCCTGTGCGGCCGTCCTTGCTGGGTGTAGGGTTCTTCTTTGCCGACTCAACCAGGTAAGGGATGGTGGCCTTAATGGTGTTAAAGGTACCCAGGACGTCAATATCGATAACGGCCTTGAAGGCGTTGGGGCTCATGCCGGACAAGGGTGCGACGAAGTTGCCAGCAGCACCCGCACTGTCGGACGTTAGTTCCGATAAGGCCCCATTCAACATCGGGAACCTACATGACAAAGTCGATGCTTCCGAGTTCCTTGGCACACCTGTCTGCGGCGTCCTGCAGGCTCTGGGGCTAGTAGCGACAGGTCAGTCTCGACGTGTTTGCAGCGTGTGAGATTGATTGACTGATACGTACATTTCTCACATCACAACCACCGATGCCGATAACCTTGGCACCCGGCCTGGCAGTAGCCAGGTCCTTGGCCATGGCCTCTGTCTTTTCGACGTTGCGGCCGATGATGCAGGCATTTGCTCCGAGGCGGACGAGAGCGCGGGTTTGGGCACTACAAATACTTCCGGCGCCGCCGGTGACAAAGGCGACCCTGTCATCTGTGCCAATCTGGTCAGTCCCGAAGTAGCTGCGGACTCGGGCCAACTCACTGAAGATTCCATCCTTCCATACCGGACTCAGGTATTCGGACTCGGGGACGGGCATATTTGCAGAATGTAAATGTGGAGGATGGACAAAGACAATGAGTGGCAGGTATCACAATGAAGGGGTATGATGACGTGTGGGACGTGTCGTTCAGAGGTAAAGGCAATGGACAAACGTGAGAAGCGCGACAACGGGGGGGAATTTGATGGATCAGCTGGCTGCACAAATACCGGAGGTTGTAGGCACTCTAATGTAACGCAGCAAGAACAAACTAAACAAAGTCCGGTCGGTGCGATGTATGGTTTTGACATGCCAAAGTCACGGCAGTGCGCAGCTCCAGATGGCAGCGGCAGTGACGCGACGGACCTCGGCAAGGGCAGGTTGTAGTGCGGAGCCTTCCGCAGTGACCGAAACACCGAAACCTTGATTTGTGATTAGTGATTCCACTGCTGAGTCATCATCTTTCTCGGGTTGGAAGCCCACGATCACGGGCGAGAAGACGGTCTCGGCCGAGCAAGAGTTGATTGGCGGGGAAGGGGGGAAACCACAGGAGAGAGAGATTGTTTCCTCAGTCCACACCAGCCTCCAGACGCACCTTACCCTCCCGCCCGTTCGGGGACTAGTTTAGCGCAGTTTTCTGCGCAATCACACCCCGGAGGAGACGACCGTCTCCCCCGTAACCACCTTCCCCAATCGCTTCTAGCGCTCGCTCCTGAATGAACCTGCCTCGCTGTTACAACGCCAATCCCTCTATAATCCTGAGCAAGTTGACCGACCAGCTGCAGTCCAAACACTAGCGAGTGGCTGTGGAGATGGGCCCGGCGTGCTCCAAGTCAGAAGCTGACGAGCTCCGATTCAGTGACATGTCATCGCAATGTTCGCCCTGAAAGAACGGATGGTCCATTTCTTCGGATCGTCCAAAACTGGGGTCTTGTCGACGGTACCGATGGCAGCACGATCAATGAAACTGAAGCTCGAACTGCAGGCTCAAAATCTGACCATCGGCTCAGTGCTACCAAGGTAGTCTTCAGGCCCTTGTCTAGCGACAACGGCGTCACCTTCCAATCGTACGAACCACCTGAAGAATTGGTCTCTCGTCCCATTTTCAGTCCTTCGAACTAATGCAACGGCCTCGGTCCCCGGCACGATCAGGGCTGGCGATTGGCCTATGAGAGGGGCAGTCCCCATCTGATCTGCCACGAGGCCGGTCATTATCGTACATCGGACCTATTGTTCCTGTTGTAGAAACGACGCACGTTGGGAACCAAACATTACCCTTGGCCTCGCTACATCTACATGCATGGTTGTCTCTTGTCGAGCAGAGGGGTAAAGAGTACCCTTCTACAAAGAAAAATGGTTCACGGCCGTCAACTTCCCATGCTCTGCCGGTTTTCTTTGTGGGGATTCAGACTGTGTGCTGAGACAAATGGACACGACAACTTGCAAAGCGCCTAGCATGAGCATCGCCCATAACGCTACTCGCACCGAAAACGACCCGGTCATCGTGGCCGACGATGTGGTGAGCATTTATCAAGCCCGAGACGACCTAGCATCTCTGATACGTTCCTCAGAACCCTAATGACAGCTCGTTCGACGGGCCATCAGTAAGTACCATACCATCGTGGCTCTGACTTGAAGCCACGAAGCCTGGCTCACGTTGGTTCCTAAGAGTATCGCATCCTCAACTACGAGTGTGTCAGGTTCTATCCTCAACCACCGCATTGAGAACAGCAGAACGTATCACAGATACAAAGATGGCAGTAGCCTTCCGAAGAACCATCAACTACAACGAATCGAATCTCACGAGAATAGAATACATTTATCCCAATGACGAGAAGGAAAACGATATATTAGGTATGTTGAAACAGTCCTATTCGCCCATGGCTCATCTCACATTTATTCCAGACTTGCAACACAACCTGTTCCTTCTCACGACTCACTACAAGCTTGGTCTTGCTCCTATAGCGCAGGAGGATTCCAAAGTGAAGCGTGTCCTTGATGTCGGTACCGGTACTAGCCTCTGGTGTATCGAGTTTAGCGAAGAACATCCTGATACAGAGGTAGAGAGACCATTAGGGCAAAGGAGAAGGAGATGCTAAACTTGACATAGGTAATCGGTGTGGATTTATCTCCAGTCCAGACGACATTATACGACCCCTGTCGGATTTTCCAAGGCAGGAGTGCTAACTTCGTCTCAGCGTCCTGCCCAATGTCAGGTTCGAGGTTGACGATATTGAAGAACCTTGGACGTACCATCTGCCTTTTGGTTACATCCACACTCTTGCTATGACTTCCAGCATCTCCGATTGGAAGAAATTCTCCCTGAAGTGCTTTGAGTAAGTGCTATTAGACTGTGCTAGTGCAAACCTGTCGGCTTACTGGACAGCTCTCTGGAACCCGGTGGCTACATTGAGCTTCGAGATGGCCACACCAGACCTGATTGCGACGACGGGACCCTGAAGTCAGACTGCGCGCTGCTGAAATGGGTTGACTACCTACCTAGAGAAGGCCTGCGATATCTCCGGCCGTCCGTTTGTTAACTGTGACACGTTCCTGCCGTCTGTTCAAAGGAAGTCGGATTCGTTGACATTTCCGTCAACAAGCTCGAATGGCCGATAAACTCATGGCCTAAGGACCCTCACTTTCGAGAGCTTGGCCTTTGGCAATACGAGAACTGGCTAGAGAATATTGAGGCTGTGACGATGGCCCCTTTTACCAGAGCTCTTAACCGGATCAAGGATGAGGTCAACCTCTTCCTTTTCGACGTAAGAAAGGACCTGAAGGATAGGGGAATACATGCGTACCTTCCCACATGAGTCGCCAGCTTCCCAACTTACACCCCGCAATCTATCATCCCGTTTTATCACCGACAGTAGTCATGTGTCTACTTGCCGCTCAACAATTTGCTAATAAGCTGATTAGCTACATTATCTATGCGCGAAAGCCATTAAATGGGAAGAAGTAGGTCTTCAGGGACGAGATATGCATAGTCACGTACGGTTACGGGTTTGAAGACAGCTTTCATATAGATTTGGAACGGGAAGTTACTAACACACGTGATATGGATCCTGTCGCCACCGTGGCCATAGTACTCCCACTTGCAATGCATAATTTTTGGGGGCTCGCGTTGAAATAAAGCCAGGGATGACCCAAAGAAGCCATGTTGTGTTGATCTGAAATTTTCGTGTAGAGGCAATCCTACGCTATACTCACATTTACAATTCGTCGATCTAATGCAACGGCCCAACCTCATGGTTCGGGTTACATTGACCGTTGGTTCTTATGCAGAATGGTTTTCAGTCACGGTCCACCACACTGCAGACTCCTGCTTCTTCTGTCCTAGAGCGGTTGATAGTCGTCTCTGATACGTCTGGAACACTCGCTTGTTGGAAGCAAACCGCATCCATGAGCAAACAACGCCCCCTGCCTCCAACCTGCATAATTGTCTCCAGCCAAGAAGAGGGGTCGAGTTGCACCCGCTGTTCCACACAGAGAGATAAATGGTGCACAGTCGTCGACTTTCGATTCTGCTTTGTCTCCCTCCTTCAAACATATGATACCCCAATTAGTTTCCCGCACTTGTATCTTTGACTCGTTCAACCATGGCCGACAACCAAACTGGCACGGTGCCAAGCAACGGCACAGCGCCTGTCAATGACCCTGCACCCAACAATGGTCCCGTGATCGTGGCCGACGACGATGTAAGGAACCATAGAGAGAGCCGGTAGTCGTGTCAGCACTGACTTTTCATGTAGTTCACAGATGATACCGCGTCAGACATAGCGACTGTAAGCAGAAACTCATCATCGGCCTGCTACTGTGTGTAATGGCTTCCTCTAACACTGGCAGAGCGTGGCATCTTCGAGCACGAGCTTGGCCAGCTCAATTCTCCAACACCGGATCGAGAACGGAAGGACTTACCACAAGTACAAGGACGGCAGTGAGTCTCCCCCCTCTTGTTTGTTCATTCTATGGGTAAAACTGTGCTAAAGAAAAATAAGAATACAACCTACCCAATGATGAAAAGGAGAATGATAGACTAGGTATGCTGTGATGCTTGTTCGGTTGAGGCTGTGCTCATATCCGACTTAGATTTACAGCACAACATCTATCTTCTTACCCTTGACTACAAGCTGGGTCTTGCTCCCCCGAATGACAAGGACTCTGGTGTCAAGCGCGTTCTAGACATTGGAACTGGCACTGGACTGTGGGCCATTGACTTCGGCGAGGAGCATCCCGAAGCTGAGGTAAATCCGCCACCCTCCTTGAAAGAACTCTGTACTCATGTGCCATAGGTGATTGGCGTTGATCTCACCCCCGTGGGGACACAATTGTACGACCTGGTTGACATCCATTCTTGCTCTTACTGACATTTCCTAGTGTCCCACCCAACGTTAGGTTTGAGGTTGATGACATTGAAGAGCCATGGCTGTATAGTCGGCCCTTCGATTATATTCATATCCGTGGCATGACGGCGAGTATCGCTAATTGGAAGAAATTCCTCACCCAAACCTACAAGTGAGTGCTTTATAGACCTCGCGGGTACTGCACATGCTGATGTTGTTAGCGGCCTTGCACCTGGCGGCTACGCCGAGGTGTTTGAAGGTCACATACGACCTGAGTGCGATGATGGGACTCTGACGCCTGAACATGCCCTCTCGAAGTGGGTTGATAAGATCGAGGAATGCGGCAAAATCTTCGGCCGTCTGTGGACTGATGTACCGAGTCTCGCACCCATGATGAAGGAAATCGGTTTCGTCGATGTGACTATTGCCAAGTACAAGTGGCCTATTAGCCCGTGGGCAAAGGATCAGCACTATAGAGAGCTTGGATCTTGGTGCCAGGAGAACTTTATGGAAGGTCTCGAGGGGTTCACCATGGCCCCTTTCACCAGAGGTCTCGGATGGACTAGGGAAGAAGTCGACGTCTTTCTCATTGATGTTCGGAAGGACCTGAAGGACAGAAGCATACACGCCTACAGCCCTATGTAAGTCTCGATCTCTTCACTGATCTCTTTTCTGCCCTTGTCTCCCGTCCATTGTTTTTACCAGATTGCCTTTGGTAACTCTGTATCTAACCAATCACAGGTGGACGATCTATGCTAGAAGGCCTCTGGAGGAGGAAGCCGCCGAGTAGCCAGAATCGATCCTTCAATTCAAGCCTAGGAAGGCTACATGCATGGATACAGGACATGGATGTAGATACACAGGTGACCTCGTTCTCAGATGACCCAGCGATTTGGGTGTCATAGTATATTCGACGAAAGATGTCGTTACTTGCCGAGCCATATGCAGAATATAGGAGGACCAACAGAATGCAGGATGATTTGATAAGAGACCTGTTACTACGTGAGGATCTCCCAGTACACAGTTTCGCCTAGGTAGCCGCCATGACTCTACGCATCCTAGAACAAAGCCTGGCAGGTTCACGGAGGACTGAGATCACGATAGTAGAGATTCTGATGCATATGCACGTCAGGGCTTCCAATACTTCAAATACTTACTTAAACAGCATACTATTGCCTCACAGATGGCTTGAAATTTTACGCAACTGAATCATGCAGAGAAGTGTTCTTCAACAGAGGGTGCCAGGAGGCACGGCAACTGTGCACCTTATGTAGACGGCTTGTGCACGAACTTGTGCAGCAGCATTTCAACCTCGGTGCAGCTTCGAGAGCGAATGCAGGTGCACGGATAATTTTAAGCTCAGCCTGCCCCATAGGGAGGCTCCATTGGAGGTATCCACCTGGTCCCGGCCAACCAAATCGCCGCGAAACAAGCAAAAACAGCCCCTCTCTTTCTGCTATTCCCGCGCAAGCGGAAGGCGGCAAGGCGGGAACGTCGTCGAGCAGCGTCAATCAATCAATCCGGCCAAATTCCCCAACTCCCCCAATAACCACAACCTACCCTGCCTTTCTACCTCATTCTCTGACGTCTCACTGGTCCGACGCAAGCCACAAGCCAGGTTAGGTCCAACAAAGAGCACCTCCGCACCTCCTCTCCGTCAGCGACAGGCGCCCCGACTCAGCACCGATCTCAGGTCGTCACATCCTATACGACCCGACCCGACCCCAGGAACCTCGACACTGCATCCCCCATCATCGAGCTTCCGACAACACCTGCCACACCCAAAGTCGCTGAATCATTCCAGCAACGATGGCTTCCAAAGGAGTCTCCCTCCTGAAGTTCGTGGGAACTGTTTCCCTCGGTCTTCTGACTGTACGTTGTCACCGCCCCCCCAGAGCTTCGCCCCATCCGCCCGAACCGTTGAGCTTTGGCTCGTCGGCTCATCAGTGACGCCACTATTCCCATCACCCCTCTCCAACCCCCCGCACTGAGAACTCCGGGGTCCCGACGGTTCCTCATCGGCGAAGCGCTTCATCCTCTCGACCACCAGACCTCTACTAACATTGCGCACTAGGGCCTCTCCTACTCCCTCACGACCGTCACCGTCCCCTCGATCCTCTCCCTCCCCTCCGCATCCGATGCCCTCCGCGCCTTCAAGAACCTTTACCCCGGCGCGACCGCTCGCCTGCGCATCCTGACTGGCGTCTCCGCCACCTCTTTCCTCCTCGCCTTCTTCCTCTCCCCGCGCGCCTTCCGCCACCCGTACCTCGTCTACTCCTCCGTCCTCTGCCTGACCTCTGGCCTCGCTGAGCAAATCACACCCTATATCCTCAAGAGCTCAGGCTCGTCCAAGGAGTCCATTGCCGCCCGCCGGCAGGCCAGCCGCGAGCGCGAGGAGGCCCGCAAGGCCGCCCGTCTCGCCCGTCAGGAGGCTCGTATGGAGGCTAGCTACGAGGTCCTCGGCGATGCACACAGCGACGGCGCCGGCAGCGCGAGCGGCGACGACGCGGCAGCTGCGGCAGCAGCTGAGGAGGAGGAGGAGGCTCTGAACGGCGAGGAGGTCCGCAGCGAGGTCGAGGGCTTCCGGAAGACGCAGCTTGTGCAGTCTGCCGTTGCCTCGTTCGGCTTCCTGTTGTCCGTCATTGGCATCTGGGGCGATGGTGCCATCCAGGTTTTCCAGAGAGAAACTGTCATTGTTGGCGTATAAGAATGCGCGGATGAAGCAGGGGGATGTACCAAGTCATGAGATTGTTTGCGTATAGGAAGGAGTCTTGAGATTGCGTGGGCCGGAAACACGATGCCACACTACTGCTGATGCCACTGGAAACCGTCATACTCGTTACATATTCTTCTCTACTACCCTGGCCCAACAAGGGTCGGAGAACATGGTAAAATAGACCATCAAAGCCTAACTATACACCGGACCTGCACAATCGTCTGCCTAATACAATGGTGCTTTTCTATCATTACTGCTACATTGTAGCGTCATCCATGACCTCTCCGGACTAGTGTGTCCGGTGGTCAGCATTGGCTCCCATTCTGAGCCTTTAGGTTTGCTTGCAGGCCGCATCTTCGCGGCAAAGCAAGCGTCGAGGTCCACCGCCGTGAGCCCCTTTTATCTACTCAGGACTTGAGTCTCTCGCTTCCAGCCATGTCATCCTGCGCATCCTTAACAAGGAATCTATCGTGGTGTCAGCTTTCGTCCCTCTGAATCAACTCCACGCCCCGTAATCAACTCACCTGTACATCAGTATAGTGGGCGGGATCGTGCCCAGATGCCACAGGCTGTGCGCATCCAGAGCGCCCCACAACGGCGGGAAGTCGAAGAGCTCCAGACTCATGACCGTGATGACGCTGGCAACGACAATACTCGGCCAGATGGCCCACCCCCTTCGCGACTGCCTGTACTTGTTGAAACTGAACCACAGCCACATGACGTTCTGGATCATACCAATAATGACATTGGCCGTCATGTTGTACGTGTAGTCCCAGCGCACGCCCTTGAGGTATGCGACGTGCCCGGCATACAGCAATACGCACAGCAGGGTCCACGCGCGCAGGACCGACCTCCGGCGCGGCGTCGGGAGGTCGAGGCGCATGATGCGCACGACGGTGTAGTACAGCCCGTACAGCACGCTCGCGCCCGCGGCGAAGTAGTCGAGCTGCTCGGTGGCGACAAAGTCGCGGGTGTGGAAGATGGCGCTGAAGGTCCACGAGGCAATGCCCACGCCGGCGAGCCACTCGTACCATGGCCGCAGCGGGTACGAGGCCGGAATGACGGCGCGGAGCTTGCGCCAGCCGTCGTGGTGGGCCCAGAGGTTGCCGAGGCTAAAGAGGGTGCTGAAGGGCTCCTGGACGCCGAGGAAGCGGTAGAACGGCCATTTTCCGTGGAACTGGACGACAGGCTCGCCGGCGGCGACGCGCTGCTTCGTGATTATGTGTTGGCAGGTGTAGTCGCATTCGGAGGCGCAGGACCAGAGGAGTAGACGGCGGTGGAGGGCTACGGTTGCGGAGTGCTGTTAGCTTCTGGTGTGCGGGTGGTTCGCGCCTAGGGAAGGGAGGGTTGCGAGGAAGAGGACGTACGGATCGGCGTGGCTTCTTTGCCTGGAGCGCAATTCTCATCGTGACAGACCTGCAGGATAGCGCAAGACGCCATGTCAGTTACTGCATGTCAAAAGGGCCTCTCACACGGAGGAGGTAGCGCGTGCGCGTGTGATGGTACCAACCTGGACGCATTCTCGGAACTCTGGCAGTCGGTCACCGTAAGATGCCTCGACGGTTACCGCGAAAACGAGGAGAGCAACGAAGAGGACCAGGAACAGAGGAGACTGTGATCGTCTCCCCGCTCGTGAGCCTTTCATGACGCCGGCATCTATCGCTTATTGTGGTCGGAGGAGGAAGGATTGAGACAACGGCGGGGCGTACGTGCTGGTAATCTACAACGGGACGATGGCCAAGGCGGGAGGTTGAGGTAAGTAAAGTGACGAGTGAAAAAGGTACTTTTGGGACGCGGGAGATGGGACACAAGGGTTCGGAGGTCTCGGGTGGTCACTGCTCTCTGTCACTGTTACACTGATCGAATGGAGGTCCGGGTTCATGGTGACGACTGGCGGGGAATTTGCGAGTTTGATTGGTCATTTCCACTAGAGTAATCCATTTTGGCGGGGTTCAGCCAATTGCCCGATCTCTGGACAGGGGCTCCCGAGCTAGATTAACATTTAAGTATAACTGACCTCCGTCACTCAACGTCGATTGTTCTGACCAGGTCTGGATACAGATGCTTAGAGGGCCGCACATTCTTCTCACTCTAGTATGTTCATCCGTTGCTCTCATGGCGGTCTCTGAATCACCGAGGTTCTATATGTACGCCACGTCACAGAGAAGGACCATCACATTCAGCGGAACGATTCGGAGGCGGTGGTGAAAGGGATTCTGCTTCTCTCATCAAACCGATCCATATGATCTGATGTGTACTATCCTACAGCTTTTGCTCAATCCTCGTACCATAAGGCTCCATCAGCTTCGTCAGTGCTCAAACAGTTCCCGCCGCATCATCTACCACGTTGGCCATCCCTCTAGTCTATCTCCTTGTTGGGTTCCACATCCGCGTCGTCACTCCTATTGATGATTGGCTTTTCTGCCTAGCAGTGGTAATCGGCAATACTCTTTCCGCCTCGAGCTACGAGAGTTGTCGATCTCCCAGGCTAACGGTCATAGCTATGCTTTTCCTTTTGGAGACGTGGCTTGCGAACCTGATCCCAGAGCAATCGCTTCTCAACCAAGACTCCGGGGTCATCCATGGTCTTCGGGTCTTTGGGCAAAGTAGAAACAAGTTGTCGGCCATAATTAAAGTTGAGCCATGGGTGGCCAGCCCTCGGTCCCCGGACCATCTTCATGACGAATTCCCGGGTCCACACCGAAGGTCCCCAGCAGTATTCCTCCAAGCCTTGTTCCAACGCCAGCTTGACGAGTTCAATCCAGGGCTGCGTCGACTGTATCGCTGGCTTGTTCCTCCGTCGTAGAATTAGGTACATGATCTTGCGCTCGAGGCTCATCTTCTTCGCATCAGGGCAGTCGTCCCAGGTGTGACTCTTCGCGTTGTGGATGGGACAGCCCATGGTGAAGCCGCCGTCGTCCGGGAAGATACAGTCACCTAGCCAGTGGCCAAAGTGACCGCACTGATTGCAGACATTGTCCGCGTGGAAGCGGTCCCCCTCTAGCGATTGCATTGTTGTGACCTCGTTCAGGGCAGCTTCTTCCTTTCTCATCTTGACCTTGCCCTCGAAAGGCGGTCGGGTTCACCGGTAATCGACTTGATGTAGATGCAGATGCGAACCGTTTGGCTTTCCGCTTATCTGCGGGAGAGGCACTGCTCCAACTTGATCGGCTTGTAGGCTCATTCCAACAAAGCCTTGGGGTTTGACATCATCCGATGCTTGTATGCAATACTCCAGCTGGCCAAATCGGTCGTTATTGGTGTCAAAACTGTTGCTGTATTGAATCTGCGAGGGGTATGAAGAAGATTTAGTATGGTCTCCTTCTTTTGACGCTGGTGGCAAACGGATATTATTCAACCCAGCGTGGCCGGGCTGAGCAGGCCCGTTATAGCCATGAAATACATCCTCATAGTCGGGCTGATTCTCGATTTTGCATCTGGTTGTTTCATTGTTGTATATGGGCTGACTGTGGATGGCGGGGCTGTGATGACCAGTTCTGTAATCGCCAGGCTGATGTGGTCCGGGTCTGCCCATCACGATGGGTGGCTGAGACTGTCGGACAAACTGGTTGCCGGTCAAAGCATCATTAGTAGGGAACTGCATGAAGCTTCCGTAGCCTGTGTTGGTGTCTCTGGTATCGGAAATCTTTCGTCGCTTGCCGTTGCCAACGCCCTGATGGCTATTTGCATAGATGGATTGTTCCTCTTCCAACCCCTGGGGGGCTTGGCCAAGATCAGTTCGTGCAGCCGATCCTGGATCTCGCATTTCCTGCTGCTGTTGGGAGTTGGCTCGATTTTTGTTGCCAGCGAAATGAGGGTTGGGCTCGAATCTGGCGTGTCTCTGGGTCTCCTCGCACTGGGGCTGGCTTGAAGGCAAGCAGCTATGGACATCTTGCACCCATCGGTCGTCTTCATATTGAGGTTGTTGACTGACACCATTGCCACCGCCTCTTTTGTTTTTTTAGGTCTCGGCATCTTACGAAGCTTTCTAGTTGTTGCCTTTGGGGAAAGAGGGAAAGAGAAAGGTATAGCAAGGCTCGGTTAAAGAGGGAGGGGAGAAAGGAAAACACAAGGCAGGAAGCAGTACTGGTGGGCCGGGAATTTTTGGGCAGAAACAAACGAGGGCCAATTGCGTCACATGACCTGCCTGAATAAGTTGAGGTGAAATATATGTGAATAAGGTAAGGCCGCCGTGAAGACATGGCCATCGGGAGGCTGATTGTCTGGCACATTCCATGTTGGCGATACAGCTGGCGCTCAAGCACAGAACTATACATTCAAAGTAAGACTAAACATCCTTGTTTCCTAATCAATACAAGTCACATTGGTTTGTTTGGATAGCAACAGGTGTTTACATCTGTTGTTTTTCCGAGTCCGTTTGTTCCTCCCAGGCAGGATCGACGTGCGCGTTATAAAACTCGCAGTTTGTGATTTCAAACACATACACTACATGACACTCGAAATTTATGCTCTAATTCTATTCAAGAATGATACCAAGTTGAAGATAGCACTGATGCTATTTTACTCTTTGATAAGATGGTAAATATTGGGACTTAGCTGGCCCTGGGTTTGAGTGCGTAGTAGCCGGCCGTCCATGCGTTAAGAACCCTGTTTCTCGACAGCAACGACGGTTATGACTCCAGAAAGTCTTTTTCAAGCACCTTGAAACTCATTGCGCACCGCATTGCATAATTCTGTGCCTATAGGGCTGCAATAGTGAAGCGTAACGGCATGTAAGGAACGATCTCAGGGTTGATTGTGAGGGGACACATAAACCATCATTCGCTTACCCGTCTTCATCCTCCGTACTTGGAACTCTCTCCTTATCACTGCATTGCAAACCACCATCAGAGACCTTGATTAACATGAGAAGTCAAACGTGAGGTAGATGCGCCTCTCCAAATAATGACATGGACCAGCTATGTTCTCTGGTCATATGAGCTACTGCAACGCTTGCATGGCTGGTAGTGGTCTACACGGAATGTGAGAGTGTAACGCCATCAAAAGCAGCTAGTGCCTATCTAACCGTTGCTGCTTGTAGGTCAAGGAAAAAGAAGTCTACAACAGGTATCTAATCTACTCTATTGCAAATATCAAGGCACACCCGGCAGACACATATCGCTTTCCGTCTCTAACACTGTCTGCTTTGTCCCGTTTCAATGGTTCCAAAAACGTAATCATCAGTGTTTTTCTCGCAGATTTAGACAAGAGGCGGCTTTGAAAGTGGCGGCACTGACGCTGCTCAACGTGTCTAAGAAGGCATGCAAGGAGGATCGTCGCCCACCGCAGCAAAAGGACATCGCAACGTCAACAAAAAAACATACAACACCAGGTATTCGCTGGTCGTCACCGACCCAACTACTAATCCGGCCCTCACTGGCTTATCTATGGGAGAGCGGACGGGATCCCGAGTTCTCCAGTGGGTATGGTCGTATGTGATAACAAAGTGACGCCAAGTCGTCTATAAAGGAATGTCCAATGACAATTTGATTCCCAGTTAGGGACTTGAACCTAGATATTCCCAGATAATTTAATTGAAATGGAAACAACCCTGATACTTGGGGCCGAGAAGGCGATATCTTGCCCAAACTCTCTGTTTAGGAACACGACGGTGTATAATCGAACATGTACGGATATAATGAGCCATCACGAAACGCTCGTGTAGTTGTGTAGTTCAAAGCAAGACTCAATAGGAATAATCAAGTCTTGGAAGACTACGCTGCACAGTGAAAGACTCAGAAAAGATAGCATCTAATTCTTTAATTAACAAGTCTCGTTTACTTCATTCTCAATAAGCTACTCATAACTGGGCGCTCCTTACACAAGGTGTTCAAGCATCCATGGATATGTGCATCAACTGGCAAATGCAACCACTCAGATTCTTGAGACTGGGCGCAATTCAAATCGTTTCAGGGCCGTGATAGCTGGAGATATAGCCCGGTGAATTCGGTTTTGATTTCATATTATGTTGCACTTTCCCAAGAGTCTGTGTGAAGCAGGAGGCAGGAGGGCCCCTCTCCTTCTCTTTACCTTACCACGAAGTATCTACGTTTTCATTCCTTTTCTCATTTTACTATCCATTTGATTTTCAGTCTTTTCTCATTTCCCTTCAATTTATCACCCCATTCAACCCACCCTCGTTAAATCCCGGCGAGCCAACATACCTCTCCCATCCTTAATCGAAACCAAAAGTTAGTCGTTACCAGTCGACGCTATTCACCAGGCCATCACTAACATTTATATAGTCGATCAAGATGTCTGGAACGCGTCCTCCACAGGCGTAAAAAGAGAGCGGTCATCTTCGGCTTCTCTTTCCCAGCTGTCCAACAAACACGCCAGAGTGTCGTTCACCATCGACAAGCCCGTCTTCGGACGGCTCGAGGTCTTCGCAGACACCAACGCTGAGGGGATCGTCCGAATCGACAAAAAGCGTCGGGACAGGAGCAAGCCCGTCATCCACTATCTCTCGGATGATACCTTTGCCCTCTGTGGTTCCCGTGAGCAAGCCCACGCCATGCTCAGCAAGATTCTTAGTTACAGCGACAAGGCTATGTTCACCTGCGTCGCGAGACTCGTTACCGACGCGGAGAAGGCGGTTGAATCCACCCCTAGGCCAGCCTTGACTCAGCACGAGATTCACGACAGTCTGCATAACGACACCAGCAAGACCAAGTCTCTTCCCACCTCCAAGCTCGACGGAACAGTACTTTCTCGCCGTAGCCTCGACGCGGCTTTGAAAAAGTGGTCAGACTGGGGCAATCCCTGGTATGAAGCTGAGTCTGCTTGTAGATGAGATGGCATCCCTCGAGCCTCAAGGTCGTTCAGTCGAACTGCTCGTGATGCAGAACTTCGTCGCCAAGAACCCACAGATGTTGGTTGCCGACTTCAACTCGAGGTGTTCAAAGGAGCAACTGAGCTATTACGGTCGGATCGCAAATCACGGAAAGACGCAGGTTGGCAAAGACACGACCCGCTACAATCTTCTCACCCGACTCTGGGGGCCATCGCCCAGCATATCTTCGACTTATTCCACCATTAGTTTTTGTGATTTTTCTGACGATTCAGACCATTCGGCAAACGACCCTGCTCATCCCGCTTTCCCGCGGAAAAGAACGAAGCCTAGCGATATGGCAGGTGGGCCCGACAAGTCACATACAAGTTTCCTCCAAGACCTCAAGGAGAAGAAGCGCGAGAGGTATTTGATCTAGGTCGCTCAGGATACCAAGGCGAGGCTCTGCCATCCTACGTGCTCCGAATGACACACTGGACGCGAAGAATACACACCACGACATAGGAGATGAACGATGCTTGGGGAAACCAGCAGGGTTGAATAGCCAGATAGGAAACAAAACTCATTAGATGAACATCATCTCATCGTCCACCTTCCTGTTTGGTTTCATGCTTCACTACATCTCATGAACAGGCAACACCTTGAACCATGAAACACGCACACATACATCACAGGTCGACACGGATCCCGAAGCCAAAGGGCAGTTCGTAAAGGTGTATATGCATATGCGAACGAGGACAACGGGCTACATCGTCGCTCCTCCTTCCCCTTTTTTAAAATGTTTTCCCTTGGACCGCCCCGGAACGCCAGAGCAAACAAATCAAGAACAACGGCCCAGCCAGGCGCATGATGATGGTGATGATGAAAGCCACGGCATCTCTCTCCTCCTCCTCCTCCTTTCTGGTGCTTCTCTATGATATCATGGACTACTCTCCCTCCGCTGTCCGCTCATTACCCGTCCCCGTGACCTTCTCGCCGCTCTTTACTGCTCCATCGCCTCCTCGTCACCGGCAGCGGCGGCGCCGTCGTCGCCCCACAGGCCGTCGAGCTTGAACTCCTGGGCCCACTCGGTGACAATGGTCTTCTGGTCGGCGGCGCCGACGTCGTCGCCGACGGGCGCGGCGGAGGCCGGCTTGCCGTCGCCCTGCACGGCGAGGACGGGGGCCTCGACCCAGCCCTGGATGCGGCCGTCGCGCCAGTCGGTGACGACGGTCATGGCGGCGGCGTTGATGTTGGGGATGCCGCCGCGGCCGAGGCGGCCGCGTTTGCGCGCGACCTGGACGAGGAAGTCGGTCGTGACGTCGCCGTCGGCGCGGCTCGGCAGCAGCGGCGGCAGGTCGTACGTGTCCGTCAGCTTCTGCAGCAGCTCGGGGGTGGCCGACAGCCGGCGCAGGAGCAGCGTGACGGCGGGGATGGGGTCCTCAATGTTCTTGGGCGGCACGGCGTTGAGCAGCACGAGGTGGGCGTGGGCCTCGGTGGCGGTCTTGAGCGAGACGAGCCCCGAGGTCGTGCCGTTGGTGGCCGAGGGGAAGACGATGCCGGGGGAGTCGAGCAGGGTGAGCTTGCTGTCGATCTTGACGGCGCGGATGCTCGTCGTGACGCCGGCCTCGGCGCCCGCGGGGCACGCCTTGGAGGCGCCGCGGCCGCCGCTGAGGCGGCCGAGGAGGGCGTTGATGACGGAGGACTTTCCGACGTTGGGGTAGCCGATGACACCGACCGAGACGGCGCGCTTGAGCTGCCGGCTCGCGGCGTACGACTTGAGCGCGCGGAACAGGTCGGCCGACGTCTTCTGCACCGTCAGCTCCTTGTGGTTGAAGGTGTGCGCGTTGGGCGCCGCGTTGGACGCGCGCAGGGGCAGCGTCGGGAAGTAGCGGCGCAGGTGCACGAGCCAGTCCTTGAGGACCTTGGGCGGCACGAGGTCGATCTTGTTGACGACGAGGATGAGGCGCTTGCCGCCGTTGGCGGCGGCCATGACGCTGCGCTCAACGTCGCGGGAGCGGGTGGATTCCGGGTCGCGGGCGTCGAGCACGTAGAGGATGACGTCGGCCTGCTCGACAACGTTCTTGAAGACCTTGTCGAACGCCTTGCGCGAGGTGGCGTTGCCGACGGCGATCTCGGGCGCGGCGTCCGAGTCGTCCGAGTCCTCGTCATCGTCGTCGTCCATCTCGTCGTCGTCGCGGAGGTCCTTCTCGTAGCTCTCGGCGGCGGCCCTCGCGCTCGCCAGGAGGGCGGCCATGGGGTTCGACTCGTCGACGTCGTCCTCTACCATCATGTCGTCGTCGTCCCCGACGTCGGCCATCTCGTCCTGGCCCGTCGACGCAGCCTCGGTGGCGCCGCCCGTCTTGGCGGCCTTTGCCATCTCGCGGCGCTTCTGCGCCTCCTCCTGCTTCCGCAGCTTCTTCTCCTCAATCTCCTCGAGGATCTTCTCCTTGTAGGGGAACAGGTTCGGGATGCCGGGGTCCTTCTTGAGCTTGGACCGCCATTCCGGGTTCTGTTTGGCGAGCTTTCTCTGTTTCCTCTGCTTGGCCGCCGACGCCTTTTCGATCTTATGCCGGAGGCGGACGGGGTCCTCTTGGACTTTGGCTCTGCGGGTGCCGTCAGTTTAATGCCCAGACTGCTTTCCTGCAGAGGCGGGACCTACTCTTGGGTTTGTTGATTGAGCCAGCCATCTTGAAAGTTGACCCGGGTGGTTCGAGGGTGTAACTTTTTTTTTTGTCCTGGAGGGTTGCTTCCTGCTAACCTCGACCGCCGCAAAATTTCCTCCGCCTCGGTCTTTGCAGTGCAACTTTCAAAAATTTAGTGGGAGGGCGGGTTCTGCCGCCCCACACCGCTCGCTATCATTATCGGACCCCACCATTAACGCTCACCGCCTGGGGCTAAGCCCGTTGGGGAAGCCCCGCCATCGAAAGGGTCCCCCCTCCTCCATTGTGACGAGGTTCGAAGGCGAAAGCGTGCTGGAACCAGTGGACTGGAGACGCTTACTGCGCAAAGACGGACCTGAAAAAGAGAGCCTCTGACGGTGTTGGGTCCGCTGGGTAGGTCTAAAACAGCGGATATGGCCATGGCGGACTACCAAGGTCGTCGTTGCCGACTCGGGGATCCCTCACGAGTCATCGGCCATCTCACAACCTCAAAATCGACTCACACTCTCAACCATTTCAAATAAGATTCATTTTAGGACGCTTGAAGTTGGTTTTCATTTGAGACGCATTCCAAAGACATATAAACTAGCAAGTTGCATAAACCAACCCAGTAACACTGCCAGGTATGTTTTCACCTCAAGTAAAAAGGGAGACAACTGCTGAACGTCCACCGTTAGGCTTCAACCATGTCGTATACGGCCCCCCACAACGCATCACCTTTGATGGCTTCCTCTTCGACATGGACGGTACCATCATCGACTCAACAGAGGCTGTCGAGAAGCACTGGCACACGTACGTCTTACCGACTCTCACCACCAGCGTCTCACGGCCGATGTTGTCCCTTGCATCTGGACACCTCTCTCCCGCTCGTCTCCTGAACCACACCCCACTAACACCGCCCTCCCTTGCAGAGTCGGCAACGAAATAGGTGTTGCGCCCGAGGTGATCCTCGAAACATCACACGGCCGCCGGAGCATCGACATCTTGAAGATTCTGGCCCCTGAAAAGGCGAACTGGGAGTGTGAGTTGCGCTCAGATCTCTTCTCCGTTCGTCCCCTTGCTTCCCTCCTTCACTCACCGGCCGGCCGCCACCGTTTCCCGTCGTTTGGCACTGTTTCTCACTCGATCATACCCCACAACACAAGCAAGGGGCCAAAGGGGTGAGAGTTGGCTAACGTGTTTATGCGCAGATGTTCGTGAGATGGAGGGCCGCCTCCCGAAACTCTACGGAAAGGACGCGGTCGAGATTCCGGGAGCAAGGGCGCTGCTAGACGCTCTGATCAAGGACAAGGCGCCCTGGGCCATCGTCACCTCGGGTACCGAGCCCCTCGTCGGCGGGTGGCTCAACGTACTCAAGCTGCCCCAGCCTGAACACCTTGTCACCGCCGAGTCCGTAGAAAACGGCAAGCCAGACCCAACCTGCTACCTCATCGGCCGCGAGAAACTCGGCTTGCAGGACGCGTCGAAGCAGATCCTCGTACTCGAGGACAGCCCGGCTGGCATCAGAGCCGGCAAGGCGGCCGGATGCAAGGTCCTGGGCCTTGTCACAAGCCACACCGTTGAGCAGGTCGTGAACGCCGAGCCGGACTGGATCGTCAGAGACCTCGACTCTGTCAGGGTCGTCGAGAGCAGGGATGGTGTCGTCACTCTAGAGTTTTCCAACGCCCTTGCCCCGAATCCCTCGGCGTGAGGAATGGAGGCTCTGCTAAGTAAATCGATAGATGGGAATAGACTTTGTGTGCCTAGACTCTAGTATCACAGAGCCGTGGTTCGCTATGCCCTTGTGGCAAGAAAAAAGGGAGAAAAGCTGACCGGCTCCATGAAAGACGTCTCGAAGAGACACAAACTACATGCTGCCCCATCTTGTCGAGAGATTTTCCGTATTCGAGGGGGGAATAGCCTCGACGGGTGTACAACCACGACGGAAGATCCCAATCATAAGCGAACTCGTCAAGGTGCGGTGCCAGCTTCAACCCGGTGGACAGCAGGGCAGCGGCAAAACACCACTGATCTCTGCGAGAGGTGAGTCGCGTAGGCCCAAGACCCTGTCTTCGAGCTCGAGACAAAATACGCCAGATGTCGTGTCTGGACATGTGTGACCTCAGTATCCAAGAATATCCCTCCGTCGGCCGAGTCAGGTGAGCCTTATCACACACTCGTGCGTGTGGTCTCGCCGACGATTCAGAGTGTGAAATGCCACGGTTTTACACCGCATCGGTTGTTCAATCAGTTCGAGGCGAAGCAGAGCACGAGCGCGTCGAACTTCCGCCGGTGGTCTCGTTTCTTCTCATCATATCATGAACCATGGGGCAGATGCATGCCTTAACCTCGAGTTTGGCTCAGGAAAAGCAACGTCTAAAGGTCTCAGTCCGGCGAACGCACCGCTTTTGGACGTTCAAAAGCAAGTTGGCAAGACGGGGCAGTCGTTTCACGACAGAGTCGTACACGAAAGTCTGACAACTTGCCAAACGCTTCCGATTATCTCTTGTCTAGGCTGTGCAGGAGCTGAGTGGTCCCGAGACCGTGGTTGTGGCGTAACTTTGCCTAACGACGAGGCCACTGTTAGCGACGCGGACGAGAGTGAACGGTTAGTAACCGTCCTTGTAAGCCGGAGCTGCAAGGCCCCGAAAACACAAGCATGCCCTGTCAGCTCCGGGCTTCATGCTGACGGGCCGGCTGCCTGCAGGTCGTAATCATACAGGCACATCTCGCGAGATGACGCAAGTCGAATCAGAAATCAGCGTCTTGCAGCAACTTCGGAGATCTTCATGCCTTAGCCCTCGGAGCGTCATTCAAGCCGGCGACATGTGTAGCGCAGTGAGTAGCGCAGTGCCGGCTTGGCCTCCCCGATGTTGATATTTGGCGAGGGTTAGGCCGTGGCGGAAGTCTTTTCGATCGGCCTCCATCTTCAACGCTTGTTCTGGCTGGCGGGCAAACGAGGCTGTAGGCATTGGTGGCTGCAAGCACACTCGGACCTGGGAAACCCGCAAATGATGCCGAGACAGCGACACGATGAGCATCTAACCAGTGTGACAAGTGTTGGTGTTAATGCAAGGCCCAAGATGAGTTGTTTGCTACTGCGCCTCGAGTGCCAGCAGACGCCCGAAGACGCCATTCCCACATGTGCCACAGCATGCGCCAACTTCCGTCTGGACAATTGCAGGAGCTTGAAGGACTAGACCAACTCGGGCTCAGCCTGCGAGAGTGTCATTCTTCTCTAACAGCCATGCGGGGGGTTGATGTGGCCAGCCTTGAAGCCTAGCAGGGTCTCAAGTCTCGGGCACAGTTGCTGCATGCTGCAGGCATCGAGGACTGATTGCTTCAAGCCATGTAACGAAAGCAATACCGTCATATCACACTGACACCAGTTGTCAACTCGACTGCCGTGAGGAGGAGATGCAATCATCAAATGGTGGTTCGCCCATCAAGGAGTCTGGGCGACGAGTCGTTGGAAATGACATGGCTCGACGCTGCCTTCAAGTTCCATTAGTGCAAGCTATGACTGGCCGGGTTTCCGGAGCTAGGCGGCCGGGTCGAACGGGAACCGCACGCCTGTCAAAACGAACACTCCGTATGTCCTTGGCAAACGACAGCCTCTGCTTCGCACAAACCGGCGCACCTGCCTTTATTTAGAAGACGGATACGAATACTTCAAAGAGTTCAACACTGGGACGTGTCGCCTGGCTTTATCCGCATTTTGCACCGGGGCGGTACTTGGTAACGGGCAGACGTGTTCTGACTCGAGTCGACCCTGCCGTGAGGCTGTGCCGTGGTTTAGCGAACAAGAATGAAATTGTGCTGTCGCAGAGATGGGGGTCAGTTGAGTGTCGGGGCGTGGAAACGGACGCGCGCAACAACCCGGTTCGCATGCAAATGTTGTTGCACGCGTGCTTCCACGGGTCCCTCACCACTTTGCCTACGGCCGTGACGAGGACCCCTGATCAAGTTAAATGAGAGTAGCAGGGGGCTTGTGGCTCATGCGTGTGGGAGGGGAAGAGAGCAAGAAGACAAAAAACATTAACAGCTCCTCTTCCCCCCCCTTGCCGGCAAAGGGGAAAAAACGAGCTTTCTCTCTCCACAATGCAGGGGGCAGGGCCGGCATCTCATCCACATCATCAGTCGTCACGGTCGGCATCGCACGTGGCCGCCAGGACCCGATTTTGATCCCAAATCTCCCGTTTGCCGCCATTCCCATCCACCCTTGATCAGGATGATGCCCATGTTGCTGTAGTCCATGTACTGAAGGACCGAGCCACGCTGTGCCTCGTATATCGTCATTGTACCTTGATGAGCCGAGTGACCACAGCAATTGAGTGTCCGGCTGTGTGGTTCTGTGAACGCAAAAGAAAAAAAAAATAGACATGGTTCTGTTTCGTGCTGTCGGGATCAAGCTGCCTACGGATACCGAGCCCCTTTTCTGCGCATATCGTCAAAATCTTCATCTCTCATGTGCAGATTGGGCCAGATGCACGGTCATGACTCCTCGACTTCTAAGCAAGCCTTGTGGCCGCCATGCCGCGCGCCATGGTAGTCGCCTTGGAAAACGTGTTGCGCGGCACGCCCATGGGGTCCGTTGGCGTCGCGCCGTTTCCTTCATTCGAAAACGCTGCCAGCAATTGATCGTGGTAGAGTACGCATACGGCAGATGTTCCTAGCCGACCATTGTGCTTCACGGACGACTGCGCGAGGGCCATGGAAGCGGTTACTCCTAAAACGTCGTACTCCCTTACCACAGAACGCGATCCGATTCCTTGGATGAGAGAAAGGCACTAAAATAGAAGCGGTTACTCTCCGGATCCTCCCAGGTAGCCCACATGGAACAAGGACTTGCAGAACATCATCTCCGGAGGCGGGCTCTTCGAATCGTCAGGGTGGAACGGCGGGTAGATGTCTGATGAGCAGATGACATCGACATCGACATCTATGATCTTAGGGCGCAGCACGATCTGGGTTGGGGCTGGAGAGCAAACAGGGAACCACAACGTAGTCGGCAATGAGCATCTGCACAAGCTGCTGTACAATGACCGAGTCGGTTGTGCTACGTACGCCGGCTCGTACAACATGCGATGCACCCGAAGCTGACCAATCATGTCAACTGATGGCACCAATCTCATCGCTTCTTCACTTTCGCGGTTTGCCCCCTCTTTTGGTCGAGAAAAGGGTCCAGGCATTTGTGACTCGTCCTTCGACATGCTGCTCATATCGACTCGCGAAGAGACTGAATCGCCATATCATCCTAGGGGAGTATCAAATGAAGCAAACCCTGGGCACAATGCAAAGTAAACCCATTGTATTAAGGCTCATGTTGATAATCGTAGATTGCCTGATCGATGCTCTTGATAATGCCAAGTCTTTGGAAAAATTGAGACAAGCCGTCACTTAGTTTTGTTAGCATTCCTAGCGAGGGAAAATATTTTTTCGGCAGCGCTCAATCCAGTCCGGCGCCGTTGGCCCGCTGGTGCGGGTGTATCTGCTTTGATGTCGGGTGTCGAAAAAGAAGGAGTCGGTTTTGAAGTGCGAAAGTTTCGTAGGTCTGGACTCAAATGCTAAGGATGACTTCCGCCACGAGCAACGAAGAACGTACTTAAGCGTTGATGTCTGCCCTGGTCTCATCAATACCAATCGCATCTTGCGATAAGCATCCCCAGCAGCAACGCCGGGTTAGCTAGACATACACGGCCAACGAAGTGTTGTATCGCAAGGTCCACCATAAGGGGACCGACCTAGGCGGCTTCAGCGATGAGGTTACAACGCCCACGGATGAGTGACAGTCCGGGAACGCCACCCACACCATAGGTAGGTACATCGGCCAAGTCCAGGATGCCTTGTTCGGTTTTGCAGCTCGCCTCGCAGGCGGACGTCGATGTGTAATCTAGGCCCCGAAAGACCAACAGCACGGAGGAACCCCGCCATCACTCACCGCTGAGCATGGCATGTAGCACCAAGCCATTGACCGTGTTCTCTCTGTGATGCAGAGCTCTTCCCAGTGCTGCAGTTTGGCTGTACTGACTGTATGGCCGACACTCCGGATCGGTTTGATTCGTTCATGTACAGTCGTGCTGCATGACTTAATGGTGCAGGAGCCAGCTGGACCATTCTCGCGCATCATGCATGTCCACGAACGGCTTTCCAATCTCGTCAGGGTGTGCGATATTCTCCTTGTACTGCAGTCTAGAACATGGAGCCAGAAGTCTGTTTGACCAAAAGAACGAACACTGTGACGAACAAGGCGGCGGGCTACTGAAGTTCCAGAGAGTAATTTCTCTCAAGATTGTCGGTCTGAATCGACTAAGACATGAGCGACGAACATACCATTCGAAACCTCGTCCGATCACTATATGAACGGCCACAGAAGAGACTGTGCCTGGGGGCTTTTGGTCTCAACGGTCATTTGGCTTCCAGCTTTCAGGCTGAACTGAACGAGAGGGCGGACTGAAGCCCGATCATACCCTACCAAACGTGTAATGACGATGTATTTCTGTGCTTAATTGGCGACTAGCAAATTGTGTTCTCGACTTACGAACATGGCGATGCGATATGATGCGGCTGAGGATTGCAGACAAACCGAATATGCCTTCCCCAGCTTGTTTTGTTTCGAGGTAAGGGTCTGGTCCTATAACGCACATCTTAAGAAGATCCCACGAACGAGGCTTGGTACGGGCCTGGGTCTGCACGCCTCGTTTGCGCTTAGCAATGTCACCCTATGAAAAGCGGCCAACCGCAACTCTTTGCTGTAGCAATCGCCTGGGACATCTGGTAGCAGCCGCTGTGTTGAACAGATGCTTGGGAAACGCGATGTGACTTCATTTCGCACCGTCTGGTACGTTGGTGACCTCGCAGCGCCTTCTTCCCCAGCAGCTGGGTTCAGGCCCATGTTCAGTGTTCATATATCTGCACGTCAAGTCTTGTAGCGTCAAGGTTCACCAATAGCGATGCCATGGATTCAAGTCCATGTTGTCGTTTAACGTTGGGCACTTACTTTTGTCGACGAAGGCAAGACCGACCCGAGAGTGCGAGAAGCTTCCCGAGTGAAGGCAACACGTCGACCTACATTGACACGAGGACATTGTTGGCATTCTTGCGATTGCGAGCGTGACGAGGCGGACGGCAGGCTTCCGTGAGCTGCAGGACAAATCCCAAGCCACTCAAGTATCGTTAATGCGTTGTGTGTGGGAGACCACTGACGCTTACATTTACAGCTAGACCCATGGCTGACGGGATACTTGGTTCCTCTGCAATGCAGGCTGCGAGTTGGAACGCAGCACGGCAAGGTTGCACAAACCAGCAGAAGCAGAAGCTCCAGAAATAGCAGCACACTTGTCCTTCCTTTTTGTGCAACCCTGCGGTGGTGACGGCTCGGGTCAAGGCCCGCTCACCACCCTCGAGTAAGCTGGAGAAAGGGTCGCAGTTCAGAACGGGATGTGTCCCCAACACCTGATCAGGAAGCCAGCCGAACCGCCAACTGTCAAGGGACCTTGACTTTGCGATCAAAAATGAAACCCGGCTAGCTTCAGAGACCAAAGAAGGAGAGATGTCGGGAGAAAACTACCCGTAGCGCCACGACGCTAGCCCTTGATACGGAATGAAAGCCGTTGCTTGTCCTCCAGGCTCGCTGGCCTTCCGATCTCATACCTAGCCTTGTCGGGATTTCTGTTGGCTTGGGATCGCCGACGAGGGAACTCCCTTGGCGACAGCTTCAGTTGTGCATAGGAGGCGTTTCTGTGTTCCCAAAGGCCTGGGTTCTCTGGGGACAGGTCCGGTAGCAATCTCGTTCCGTGCGCAACAGCGGCATATTGCTGCACGTAAGACTGGGAACCATATCGTCCTTGAAGCTGCTTGCTGCACTTGAAGCCCCCGCAAACATTTTCGAACAAGTCCACGGGATGCGTCCTTTTGCAAACCGGCAACGAAAACCGACACAGTGACGAGCTGCGAAGGATGAGCTGAACATTTGCGAATCATGGGTCCAAATAGGGGTTCCCAGAGCCATCTCTCCGTGCATGGGCAGATGTAGTAGTCTTGGTTTATGGGACGCGGGAAAAAGCCTTAATTGTGTGTGTGTGTGTGTGTGTGTGTGTGTGTGTGTGTGCTGTGGTGCGTTCTGCGCAGCGGGGAGGAGGAGACTGTGCCGCTGCACCGTCTAGGGGTGCGGGTACACCGGGCTCCAACCACACTCGACATGTGTTATCAACTTGCACAAAGGCTGCCTGGCAATGTTTGAGATAATGGTGATGGAACTGCGACGGACCGTAGGGACAGCCAGGTGCATATTCTCGAGTCAATGTTACCTGGACGGACCGATGCGGCAAGGTTGCCAGCTGTTCGGACGACGGAGCGCGTCCTGGCCCTGTCCTCAGGGGTCAGATGGGCCCACTCACACGACTCTTCCCGCCTTTTGGCCTAGTGTAGATACTTACGACGGCAAGTGGCCGACAGTGCGAGATCTGACGGTGAAGACGGTTCAATGCAAGTCTTGACGGGCTGCTGCTGTCCGCGGTTGTGACGGACTCGAAAGATTACTACACTATTGGTCCTATTGGTCCAGACCTCCTTTGTTGTGCAGCAGCGGCAACGGTAGCGGTGGCAGTTGGTGGCCGGTCACAAGTCACCAGCGTTGAGCATGAAGCGTCTCTCAAGAGAGTGTCTCAGCCCAAATGGGCAAGGGCTTGCGCTTCGCCATTGTCAAGGTTTAGCGAGTTTGCAACCCAACGCAGCACCGAGTGAGACCGGTGGAAAACTGGTGGGGGCCCATTCGGGCTAGCCTGCGGGAACAGCGGCTTGTGCCTGGAGTAAGGGAGATGGCGTCTGCCCTGGGCGTCCTGGGCCACCGGCTCAGACTGAATGAGGTGCTCTGAACGTGAGGCCAAGGACTAGCCCGGCAACAGGCCCAGCTGAAGTGTGGTGATGAAGTTGCCGTTTCGGTACTGATAGGCCATGACCCGGCAAGTTGAATGATCTTCATAGGCAGGCCGCCGCCTGAGCCAAAAACGCCCACCATGTCTCTTTTCGAGGCGGACGATGCTAGAGCAGCAGTGCCTGCCCAGGAGGACTTGCAGCACAACGTCCCGTTCTGGGAGTCGCTGAGAAGAACGGGGAAAGCATGGGACGGCAAGGCACCCCACCATCTCATCAGTGGACGGTTGATCACGACGGACAACCGCTGTGAAAGCGGCGTCAAGCCCTTGGCGGCCCAAGGAGAAGAAAGAAAAGACAAAATCGACGCGTTTTTGGCGTTGCTGAGCTGCGTTAGCGCGGCGGAGGCCCAGGGGCAGTCTGCAGGAGACAGCAAGGCGACAGGGGCCGCTTGCGCCCACGAATGGCAGCGACCTATTCCGTCAGTTCGACCGGGGATGCATAGTGCGGAAAGGGTCGGAGCAGAGGCGGGCCAGAGAGACTTGTCCCAATCCATCGCTGTCTCTGCTCTCTTTTCGTCCAGACCGGGCTTTGGAGCAGCAGAAGGCAGACCAATGCAACAGCCGGCCTGCGCGGTGGCGGGCCTCAGCAGCCGCAACTGGTCGCAATGGTTGCTCCATTCGTCGCGTGGTAGCATGGGCAATCATGTACGGCAAAGCCGCGGGGACAGGCGAAAGAGGCGTGGCCATCTACTGCCATTTGGTAACTGCGAGGTGATTCGATTGGGAATACCCAGAGGCGCCCCGGGTTAGGTATGCATACATGACACCCGTGTAGTTCA